AATTTCACCGTTAGCTTATTTTGTATATTCCTTATAAAGCGTGTTGCTAACAGAGCTCCATTGGTAACAGGAGTCCAATAAATAATCAATAATTAACAAAGGCTGTTTTTTTATAACATTTGTTCCCTTTGATGCCAAAGGTCCCGGCTGGTCAATAAATAACCCCAAAGATTTCCTATCAGGTAGAGAAACCTGCCAGTAACGGTTCCTTTGGTAAAATATGACCTAGTTTACTGAATAATCTGTTTTTATTTAAAATGCGTCCCTTATTTTGTCCCAGGTCTTAGATGTTCCTTCCTCTGTAAATCATTTTTCCTCTGTCCTGAAGCAGTCATGAACGTCTCGTTTCAGATGTTTGGAGGAACCATCTCCAGCTCAGGCTCCCAGAGACACAGCAAATATGTTAAAGACACGGCTGACATGTCGGTGAGCAACAAAACCAAACAGCTCATGTTTATGTTATTAAATAAGAAAAAAAACACATTTTTCTCCAAATATGGACAGAAATTAGTTCCAATATTATGGAAAGATAATATATATTTTTTAAATGCAATATTGTAAAAATTGCATTTAAAAAAGGTTTAAAAATAATTTATTTCCTCACACTTTATTTGTTTTTTTCAATTAATTCCTTTTTTTTGGCATGAACTCTAATTTACAGGTTTCACCTTCTCCACCTCTGACCAATAGAAACGCTGTTGCTAAGGCCCGCCCAGAGCAGACTCACTCCTATTGGTCCGTTCACAGACCGCCCAGAGGTTTAGAAGGAGATACCTGGAAAAAATAGAGAGAAATTAGTAAAACTAGGTTTCCACTATTAAAATGTGAAAATAAACTTTAAAACTAAAATTCTGCAGAAATAACTTCCATAAAGATCAGCCAGTTAGTGCTAACTGGCCGATGCAGAGCGGCTACTGGTCCCTCTGACTGGTTTGTCTCTGACTGGTTTGTCTCCTCAGACTTTCGGCTGTTTCGCTCTGACCGAGCTGAGCCACGGCAGCAACACCCGCGCCATGAGAACCACCGCCGTGTTTGAGGCTGCGTCTCAGGTCAGCTCTATTCTCAGTGTCGGCGGCTCCGCCTTAGAAATCCGCCTGTTTTCATCGTTTTCTGTGACTCTGCAGGAGTTTATCATCAATTCTCCGGATTTTGAGGCGGCAAAGTTCTGGGTTGGAAACATGGGGAAGACGGCCACCCACGCTGTGGTTTACGCTCAGCTCTACACACCTGACCAGGTGTGCCACGGCCTGCACTCTTTCATCGTCCCGGTGAGTAAAGCGTCATAGAAACAGCTGGAAGGTTGATCCAGATGTTCAGCATCCGGCAGCAGAAGGACGTCTCTGAAATCCATAGAGGGACAAATTTCCCGCTTCACTCTGAGTATTTTCATCTGAGCCAGAGCTCAGTAGACGAGATTCTTCCTTGTCCTGCGCTGCTCTCTGTTGCCATGGTTATTTGGACAGATGCTGGGAGCCTTAAAGGTATTTCTGCTGTTGGTGCGGGGCCACGGAGCAGGAACCTGCAGCTCTGCTTTACTTGAATTTAAATATATTAAGGAAAGATGGGAAGAAACTTAATGTTTATTGTTAACATGGTTCAATTCGTCTGATGCTTGTTTTAATGTTCAGTATTTTATTAAGTCTGCAG